TTCAAGACCAGGTTCGTCATACCATTGGAATTTACATCTCTTGAGCTGGGGACTGTGGGACCCTGTCATCTGGCTGAATGTGGATGACCTGCCTTGCTGTTTGCTGCCTTTGCCCAGATAGCCTGAATTGCTCTACAGAGGACTACCCGGCGGCTCTTAAGACTTGAAGGACTACCAGTGTCTCGCAACTGTCTCACAGCAGTGAGTTGCACTGAGCCATTTGTACTGCTTTATAATTTAATTAACTGTTTATTTCTTATGTTATCTATCTATCTATTTGTATAAATATACATAAAAGTATTAGCGTTCTGGTTTTATTTCTCTAGAGAACCCTGTCTAACACACCAAGTGATGTAAAATCACAAAAGTTGGATGTCAGGTTTGTATCACTTCACTGTATTGATCAAATGTGTAAACTAAGCAAATCATCTAAGAGGCTGTAGCATATGAAGAAACGTGGGGCATCAGGATTAAAGAAAGACTCATTAACAACCCACAATATGCAGATGACACCACCTTGCTTTCTGAAAACGGAAAGGACTTGAGGCATTTACTGATGAAGATCAAAACCAACAGCCTTTCATATGAATTACAAGCCAAGATTAAGAGAACAAAAATCCTCACACCTAAGCCTGAGTGGGATCACAATCAACAGAGAAAAGACAGGAGTTTTGATACATTTCATTTTTCTTGGATCCACAATCAACGCCCATGAAATCAGCCGTCAAATAATCAAATGACATCCCTATTGCCCTCGGCAAATCAAACGCAACCTCCCTGTCATCCCAGGCGCCGACTCACAGTGACCCTATAAGACAGGGAAGAACTGTCCCCGGGGAGCTCCCAAGACTGTAACCCTGGACAGCAAGAGAAAGCCCATCTTTCTCCCAAACTGCTGACTTTGAGGTGAGCAGCCCAACTCCAAGCCACTGCCCCCAAGGCTCCTTCTGCACTAAGCAAATCTGCCTTGAAAGACCTCTCAATTGATGAAGAGTCAGCATCAAAGGGGTTAC